CCGCCGCCCCCGTGTCCCGGCCGCTTGGCCTTGGCCGAGACCCTGAGCCCGCGTGGCTGCCGGGGAGAGCGAAGGACCCAGCCCAGCAGCCGGAGCGCAGGGAAGCAGGGCACCCTGAATAGTTCACGTTCATGGTGTTTGACTAACATTCTTACTATCATTAGCCTTTCCCTTCAGTACAGGCTGGGCCTGGGTTTCTCTGTTCTCAGAGAAGACCCGAATCTTGGTGATCCAGTTGCTCTGTCCATGTCTGTCTCCAGGGTGAGGAAGGGCTCCAGGACGCTTTGGCACAAGGCTCTGGAACACACCTTTTTTTTTTTTTTATTTGAGGCAAGGACTCACTAATTTGCCACGTTGTCCAGGCTGGTCTCAAACTTGAGGTCCTCCTGCCTCAGCCTCCCCAGCCCCCGAGATCACAATGGGCATCTGTTACAGCAGTGCTGCAGGTAACTGCGCAGACTTACTCCACGGAACAGCTGGCTCATTCTGCTTTATTTTCCGGCAAACCTCACAAGAGACAAGTGACCCCTTCCCCAGACCGTTAGGTCCGTCTTCCCAGGGCACTGGATGAGGGGCCCGGTGACAGGCAGAAAAGTTACCACCAGCTCAGAAGTTCCATCCTCAGGAGGGCACTGGAGTCTGTGTGACTTTTCCTAACTGCCCTTCCCCTTCAGTGCCAGCATCACCTCCCGCCTTGCAGCCAGCCTTCTCGTGCGCAGCTGTGTGCAGGAGGCGGTGGCCCCAGGTGGAAGGGCCCCAACTCTTGGGTGGTGGTGAGTGACAAGGGCCCCGCCCACCCCCAAGTTGCGGCACCTGCAGGGGTCCTGGATTTTCGTCCCCAGGGAGTCCCGTGCTGAAATCCCAACCCCAAGCTGTAGAGGGCCATTCTGTGTAATCTGGGGGGAAAAATCATTTCATAATTACGATTAGGGCTTGTCCGAGACCCCATATTTGCCAAGTGAGCCAGCTGTGGTCTGCGGACACTCCCCGCGCCCCCGCAGTTGAGGCCTCGAGGTCCCCTAAGGCTGCGACGGCCCCAGAGCAAGATTACATCAGCTGCAGATGTCCCGGTTCCTCGAGAACCGGGTAGTAATACAAAAAGGGTTCACCTTGGGGAAAGGACAAACTTCTTACTAACCTGCCATCTGTCGACGCGTCCTCTTCAGGGTAAAGGTCCTCATTAGCACAAGAGCACCACCCCCTCTGCGTCACCGATTTTCCTCAGTGTGACCGTGGTCAGTAAACACCGAGGAGGGGCTGGGGATACAGCTCAGTGGTACAGCGCTTGCCTTGCAAGCATAAGGTCATGAGTTAGACTCCCGGTATCACCAAAACATACATACACACACACACACACATACCGCGGTTCTGGCTGCCTCCTGGCCGTTTTTCTCCATGACCAGCTGCCCAGCCCAGATCTCCGTGGCATCGCTCTTTCATCTCTTGCACTCTCCTTTCTCCATATACTGTAACACCCCGCAGGAGACTGCGGCCCACTGCCGGGGTCCCCAGTGCCAAGCGGTGACTCATTGTGTGATCCACAAGTACCGTGAAAAAATTTTACTGAGACAGTACCATGAATGCCCTCAAAATCCTCCTCCCGCGTCAACACTCATGCTCTGCACTTTCTGCAGCAGGTCTAGAGTCCTCTTTCCCGCGTGTCCTGCTGCCTCGATGTCCTGAGTGGATTCCAGACGGCTCCCTTCCATGAACGTGCTGGAGCTGGGAAGAGCCAGCAGGGGAAGTGCACCTCCGTAGGGTGGAGGGGGACACTGATGTCTTCATGAGCACGCAACAGCAGCAGCAGCATTCCCCACATTTTGATCATGTCTGGTGAACTCTCTGTCAGGTGGGGCTTCTAACAGGTGATTATGGCACAAGGCCAGTCCTCATGAATGTGATTAGTGCCATCATCAGAGAGGCCTGAAGCCTGGCATGGTGGCACACACCTGTGACTCCATCATTACAGGAGGCTGAGGCAGGAGTATCACAAATTTAAGACTAGGCTGGGCAGCTAAGTGATCTGCAATACTGTCTCAAACAAAAAAATAAATAAGCTGAACACATAGCTCAGTACAAAGGCCCTGGGTTCAGTCCCAGTCCTGAAAAACAAGAGAGACGGACGCAGCAGGTAGAGCTCATTGGTCGAGCACTGGCCCGGTATACTCGAGGCCCTGAGTTCAGTCCCCAGGAGCAGAGAAAGGAGGAGGACTGTGGACGCACAGGAGCCTGCGGGAGGAGCCAGCGCTGACTCAGGCAGCACAGCCTGTGGCGCCAGCTGCACTGCCAGGTGGGGCCGGCACCCCACTCAGGCCTCCGAGCCCCGAGAGCCCACGCAGTCCTGCAGCAGCGCCAGCACCTCTGCACGCCGGCTCATCTTGGTGGCCTTGCCCTGGAAGCGGCCTTTCTTTCCCGCTCCTTTGCCTTCCAAGACCTCGGCTACCCTGCGGAGCAGAGAGGGCTTTGGCGCAGCATCCTAGGGCAGCCCGAGGTTGGGGCTCCTGGAGATCCTGCTTCAAAACACTGTGCACCTGGGAGGAAGGGCGGAGGTCCCCAGCGCACGGAGGTGACGGCATCGGGGAGGGAAGTGCTCCCGGCCCGGCTTGCTCAGCCCACACTGTACACACGGATGAGCGTTACCACACAGTGACCCACACAGGTGGACAAATGTGTGCACATGAAAAGGCTTTACGCCACACGTTGTGGACCACATCTATAAATCCAGCACTCAGGAGGCTGATGCAAGAGGATTGCAAGTTCACGACCAGCCTGGGCAGCTTAGCAAGACCCTGTCCCAAAATAATAAAGGGGCTGGAAGTTGGACATGGTGGCACATACCTGTAATCCCAGCACTCAGGAGGCTGAGGCGGGAGGATTGCCACAAGTTCAAGGGCAGTGAACTACATAGCTAGATTCTGTCTCAACCAAAAATAAGCGGGTTTGGGCTAGGGCTAGAGCTCAGTGCAAGGGCCCTGACTCAATCCCCAGTACCAGAAAACAAAAAATCTTGCTTTACAGCCTACTGATAATGTGGCCCCTGTATTCAGGTATCACCCATGATTCCAAACTTCTAAAAAAAACCATGAGGGGCTGGGGATTTAGCTCGGCGCCACAGCGCCTGCCTGGCAAGCGCAAGGTTGTGAGTTTGATTCCCAGTACCGGAAAAAAAACAAAAAAATAAAAAAATTTTAAAAAAACATGAGCACGGGAGACCTGAGCCATAGGACCTGGGTCTGGTCTCAGTTCTGCACTTCAGCTGTGAGCGCTCAGGCAAGGCCACGAGGCCCCTCCTCTGCCGGAGCCTCCTGCGCACACTGGCCTGGGTGGCAGCTGTGGGCCACCACTGCCCGCAAGGCCCCGAGCTTCACCTGGGTCCCACGGTCTCCACGGCTTCGGGGGGCCCGGCCAGTAAGAAGAGCCCGGCCCCCTTCTCGTCGCCCACAGTCAGGAACAGGAGGGTGTCCTGGGGGGAGACAGGGGCGTTCCTTAGACGGAGCCACACGAAGCTCTCCAGCTGCCCCCAGAGCCGCATTAGACGGGAGCAGGAGGCAGGGCGCTGACCGCCTCAGCCTCCCGGCCACACCGTGGGCCCCTGCCCGGCCCGGCTCCCGTGAGCGGCTCCGTGGGGCCCACCTGAGCCTGGGCACTTCCGGGCCACCTGCCCCGCCGCAGGGAACCACAAAGGCGCAGAGCTCCCCCGGCCCGCGCCCCAGGCAGCTCTTACCTCGGCCCCAACCTCATTGGCGATGATGTTCATAAACTCAGAATCGCCGTCCTTCCTGTGACAGGACATGGGCCTGAGACCCAGCACGAAGTCTCGCCTCGGAGACGGGGCGGTACTGCACGGCGCCCCGCCCTCACCCCATTCCCACCCCAGCCACGTGCGCAAGCGGGCCTGCCGAGCCCGAAACAGGACTCCGGGGGCAGCAGCCCTCAGGGCCAGCCGGGCACAGCGGCGGGGCTCGGGGAGGAGGGGACGACCCAGCCCGGGGCGGCTGGCTCCCTTGGGTCTCAGGGTCCCCCGCGGCACCCAAGACATGCCAAACGTCCGCCCTCCTCACCTGTGCAGTGCCACCACCCCGCCCCAGTCGGGGCTGGCCCTGAGGCTGCGAGCCACGTGCACAGCCAGGTCTCTGAGCAGGTTCAGGTTGTTCTGGAATGGAGGGGACAGCACGGTCACCGGCAGGAGGCATGACAGGGCGCCCTCTCCTGCCCTCACTGTCCCCTCCCGACCCCCGGCAAACTGAACATCTGCTTGGGCAGAGGCCGAGGCGGGAGGCTCTGCTCCGGGCCCGGGCCAGCCCTC